CAAACACTCAGACCCCCCCCCCACACACCACACCCCAACTCCCACACCCACACACTAACTTAGAATGAAGTCTGATATCATTTTTAAGACTACTGCCACTATGCCGAAAGGAGAGAGCGAAACAACGCAGTTTCCAGCGACTTCTGGGTGCGCAGAACCTCTGGGATCCCGAGTAATTATAGCTACGAATAGCATTAGTGGAAGGGCCCAAGGCGGTGTGCGTGTCTGTTATGGGCGCTGATCTTGTTAATATTGGGAGTGGGGTGCTGTTGGTAGCTCCTCCAGGCACCATGGTTAATGCCTTAATGTGTTGCTGGCGGTTGTGATGCTTCTCCTGGCGAGGCTGGCGGTTGTGATGCTTCTCCTGGCGAGGCTGGCGGTTGTGATGCTTCTCCTGGCGGGGCTGGCGGTTGTGATGCCTCTCCTGGCGAGGCTGGCGGTTGTGATGCCTCTCCTGGCGGGGCTGGCGGTTGTGATGCCTCTCCTGGCGGGGCTGGCGGTTGTGATGCCTCTCCTGGCGAGGCTGGCGGTTGTGATGCCTCTCCTGGCGGGGCTGGCGGTTGTGATGCCTCTCCTGGCGGGGCTGGTGGTTGTGATGCCTCTCCTGGCGGGGCTGGCGGTTGTGATGCCTCTCCTGGCGAGGCTGGCGGTTGTGATGCCTCTCCTGGCGGGGCTGGCGTGGTGGTGGGGGAGGGACACGGGGAGTTGGGATTGCATGCCCCGTTGTCCCGGAATGCTGTTGTTGTTGTTATAGATTCAGCTACTCGAAACAAGTTCCAAGTAGCACGGGCTATGGTGAGCCCGTAACTTACCTGGCACAGGAGCGGTGCGCCCAGAATGCAGTTGGGTGTGGCTCTTGTAGTTTCTTAAACAAGACTTGAGAGATGTGGCACAACAACGTTGCTGATACAAGCAAACCCAACCCACACTGTTGGAAATTAGTGACGATTATTCGGTCCATTGTGGACCCTCTCAGAGTCGTGACAGGGATGATTGATGAAGATTAAGCCACCCAAGGGGGTGGCACGGGCATGAATAGCCCGTAATATAGGGATGAGTGGGAGGGGTCGGTATAAGGAAGGTGGGAAGTAGAAGTAAAGGATGAAAACCGCAGTAAGAAATGAGAATAAGTGGAGACTTCAAAAAGCATAAAGGCATATAAACCAAGTAGGCAAAAATGGAAATAGAAACGCGAATAGGAAAAAGACAGGAATAGAACAGATAGGAGAGCATTGAGGAGCAAATAGCAAAATCAGATCACACTTGCCAAGAGAATTAGAGCATCTATGTAAGTTGTGCTGAGAAAGGCAACACCAAGAAGGAACTGCAGTTCATGTTGGCCGTGTTGTGTTCTTTTGAGAATTACAGGCATGGCCATGTTGTGCATGAGAGCAGAGTTAACAAGACGGCGTCTGTGGAGAGTAAAAGCAAAAAATGTTTTTGGAGGACAATCTTTAGGACGATTAAGAGTCCTTAACGTGACAGCAGAGCATTTTTCCCACCATCAAATTTAACAAGTCTTTTGTGTTCTTTAAATCTGTCTTTAAGAATACGGCTAGTGGTTTAATTTTCTAGAATGTGAGCCATGTAGAGCCACAAAGCCTAATATGCTCTTAACCCCCAAACCCGAAGACCGTAACAATAGTTTGTTTTGTACATGGTCAGTGACCCCAATA